TCTTCTTCTTCTTCTTCTTCTTATTATTATTATTATTATTATTATTATTATTATTATTATTATTATTATTATCCATTAGCCTATTTTAAGCTAACTATATCAGCTGTGTGTGTACACTTTACCTTTTATCCATTTCAGCTGTACGGCTGTTACTTACCAATTTACATTACTTTTTTGCTAAGTGTTAACTTATCTATTTCAATCATTTATCCATTACTTTATTAACTCCTTTAATAACTGTTAAGACCTCGCTGGTCCTCATTGCTAGTTTTCACACACTCTGTGTAGGGTTCATGTATTACAGGTGACACAGTATATGGATATATTTTTGCTAATCAGATCTCAATTTCATTTTATTCAAATAGTTGATCTGCAATCGTTCCAAGTACCTGACTGCAACTGCCTGGTTTCATATAAATCACTGGCTGGGAATTAGTGATTTATATGAAGAGACGCAGAAAAGCTTTATAACAGTATGCACTGTATAGTGTCATATTATCCCTCCTCTCATCTCTTCATTTAGAGGTAAAGCCGAATGCATTAACTGAAATGAAAGAATAACATAATCTTATAAATAATTTGATTAGGGCTGCACAATATGGTAAAAACAATCATTTTGTGATTATTTTGAGATATGATTGCAATGTGATTCATGATTAGTGGGAAATGATGGGTCTCTACCACACAAATATGTTTTCTTACATCTGGAGAACAAGATTTATAACCGAGGGCACCTCTGCAGCGTCCTTTATAAAACAAAATAGCAGCTTCTGCGATTGGGTTTTTGCACTTGACCATATTGTGATTTCAATATTATTTCAATTAATTGTGCAGCCTTGAATTTGATCCACTAACACTGCTGCTACGAGTGACTGAGACTGAGAAAAGTCATACTACTATCTTGAATTATTCATTGTAGTACTATACACCCAGAGAACAGGAAAGCTGCTTGACTCTGTGTCTGTCTCTCTCCATCAGGATACATCTGGAGGTGATTCACGGATGCTGAATTACAGTCTGATTTATAAGTCAGTGAAAGCATCCAGGAGGTTTTCTGGGGAGGTGAAAGCGTGCTATGAATCACAACTGTGCTATGAAACACATTTAACTTTTTTGTGTATAAAGATCCAAACACCATGCTTCACCACCAAAGATTAGAGCCACATTTCTCGGGTGAACTGTCTGAGAATCAAAGACCAATGCACACGAATTCAGCAAAACTCAAGCAGGGCAAAATCCTTCAAATCCACCCTGTTTCTCTCATTTACTTCCTCTGCTCGGTTGCCTCTCATTTGCTCAACACACTCTGATTTGACTTGCATCTTCCCTGTAGCAATTCCACTTTTCAAGAAATGCTACGAAGCCAGTGAAAGCCTTTCTCCCCACACACTGACACACACTTTACATTCCTCTGCAACAGTGACTGTTATGTAGTGACCAAACAGGCTCATGAGGCAATAGCAAGACTGACAATGAGTTCTCTCCTCATTCATATGCCAATGAAGCTGAGACTGTGAGTACAATAAATCAGACAGTAGTAGGTGAGAGAACGCCTCCTCCCAGCTCAGGACAGGATTGTGCGTCATATTTACTGCTGGCAGACAAGGCTAAAAACAGCTTCAACAACCTCATAAACATGTTAACTACTGCATTAGATGATAACTTCATATAATTTATTTTCTTAAAGGAAAGTGAACAATGCGAAGTAATCACTTCAATTTTAATATGCTTTGGTAATTGGAGCTGCAAGAATTAGTTGATTAATTCACTCTAATCCTAACAATAACCATAGTCAATCTACAGAAAATGAATCAGTAACTATTTTATAATCAATAAATCAATCAATCGTTTAAGGTAATTATTTATTAAGGAAAATTTTCAAATGATTTGTTCTTCTCAGCTGTGAGGATTGGAAGCTTTTCTTTTTCTTATGTACTAATTAACCTGAATCAGACAAAACCAAGCACTTCAAGACATCTTGGGCTAAAGGAAACTGTATAGGCATTTTTTACTATTTCACCACTGATTAGGCTTAATTGAAAAAAAAAACAGTTGATAGTTTAATCACAAAAAGATCATTAAAATGATTGTTAGATGCAGCCTTAATTAGGACTAAACACAAAGCACAGCTGAGTCTGATGATGGTGCGTGTTAAGGGACCACCAAAGTGATTACAACTCATCCTGAGGGGGACATGATCAATCAATCCATTCAAAATCAAAAACCTCATAGTGGCACTAGAGAAAAAGTCAGTGGATCACCAAAGTCAGATTAATCCTCTGACCAACTGTGAATGTCTGAACATGATTTCATGAGATATTTCAATCTGGACCAACATTTCCATCCAATGCTGCAAGCATGGCTTAAAACTGAATGTAGCTCTGTTTTAGATTTGTTACTAATGTATTTTCATCTACAAATCATCACAACAATTATTACCGGGACGCCTCAGTAGTTTGTGAAAGTTTACTGCAGTGTGGGCCCTCACAAACTGTTAGTATAGTGAAAATGAAATCCACCACAGCACCTGTCTCAGTGCCAAAACATAAGAAGGGTAGAGGAGAAACACAGATTACATTCAGAACAGGGACCCGCCCACACAGATCCACAAAACATTTTTCAGCTGCATCCAATAAACTGTATAAAATGTTTGCCCTGTAAACTAACAGAGATGAAGACACACTTTCACCAAGATGCACAGCAGTAAGAGTGAGACTGGTGACATGTCAAGGGCGATAAGATGTCGACAGCTGAACCTGTTATTATCTGAGATTCTCATCGCTTCATCATCTACTGTGTTACATCCTAACTACTCAAAGCAGAGTTTCTCTGCATCGCAACATTCAGTAGGAGCCCCATATATATGCAACTGTATCACATACAGGTTTGAAAATTTGGTCAAATGTCAAATGAAGTGGGTCTAAGTTTACTTCCACAACATCAGCAGCAGATACAATGTGCTATTCACCAGAAGCTGGATATTTTCCTCCAGGAGGGTGATGACCCAGTAAGCATCCCTCAGCTACACCCATGACTTGTTGCCTTGGGGTCACGCAGTTTGAACCACATAAGGCAAACAAAGGGACTTTCACTGATGTCTGTCAGAATTAAAGCATTCAGTGTTCAATTTAAAACACAACCGCTGACTTAATATTTGACCCTGAGTCAGGCAATGGAGATGTTTTCTCCCTTTCACATATATCTGTCTATATATCTGTCTGTTATATTGGTTTGTTACACTCAATTACATTACTAATTACAGAGATGTGGCTGCTGTTGGACTACTGTGTGTTGCTGGGAGTCATATGTGACATGATGTATTACTGTTTTTCTTTGGTGTTTCTTCCAGTCAAATGTAAACATTTAATAGCTGTATCATGCGGTAGTGAGAGACGACTGTAAATGCATTCAGGAAACAGATTCACATTAAAAACAAAGTCTAACAGAGTTAATCATGCAAGAAATGGCATTCAGTGAACTCTATTATGAGCATAATTCTGGCATGACAGAAATACAGCAATACTTTGTCTCTTTTTCCTTTAGAATTACTTATGCAAGAGAACCTCGATCAAAAGGAAAGTTTGACTGTAAATGGGTGTGAGTTAACTAGGTGTTATAAACAACATAAAGTAATAAATCAAAGGCCTGACTAATCTAGGCTGTAGACAAATCTACATGTGAAAAAGCTGATTTAAACTCACTCAGTTCGGTGGCAGTAGAAATGTGTGGCAAGAAGTCTTCTGTTCACTCTGTCTTTGTGTTTCACAGATGAGCTACAAGTTAAGACCTCCTTTAAATACTTTTGGGCTAAGACAGCGAGGACACGCCTTCCTGCTGACAGCAGTCAGACCAGACTTATAACAGCTGAAATGATTTTGGTAGGTAGCCAAGCAACCACTTACATTTATTCCATATTGAACATATATTTCTGTTGCTCAATTATTATCTCTATTATTATTTTTATTATTATTATTATTATGAGTAGTAGTATTGAATTAAACTGCAGTAGATCTGAGAAGGTTAATACAGACTCATAGTTAAAAAATACAACCAGGTTCATTTACAGTACAAGAAGAAAAAGAGAGCGCTATAAATAAATATAAATATTAAATAAATCCACCAATATGACTTTTTCTCTGCACTCATACTAGCAAAAGTCAGCAGTTACTAATAACAGAAATGATGTCGCCACTGAATTCCAAGTGTCCCAGTAAGCCTGTGAGACATTGAATCAGCATGCACACTACAGGACTGTGACACTGAAGCAGCCAAATGGAACTCAACCGTTATTCATTTTAGTATTTACACCTGTGCTCTTCCTGCTGTGACACATCAAAATGTCTTCTGTATGTCCATCACAATGACAGGTTACTCACACACTGAGTAGGAGGGTCCACACCTTGTTCACAGAAAGCTCTGACACACTGGAGGGAGCGGGTGTTCGTGTGCTTTTGTGTCAAGTGTTATAGATGTGACATGGGATTGGACAATAATCTTGAGTTATCCACACCGACTGGTTGAGTTGGTTTTCATGGAGTTTCTCAACTGTATGATGGATCAACTGTGAACGAAAGCAGATTTAATTATATAGCATAATTTATGTCAGTGTTTTTCAGACTGTGGGGCGTGCCTCACTGGTAGTGCAGGGAGCCACTGCAGGGGCGTGGAAATTCTGGGGGAAGATATGGAGTTGAACTAAGGTGAATAAATATGATTAATGTAGAGAGCTAAACCAACAAGAGTTTGCTGATGCTATTGACCTTTAATTCACTAAAACTCCATCTGGATCCTTCAGTTTTGGTTCCCTTAATTGCGGGATGTTGGGCGTTTTTCAGTTGTGGGGCATACCAGAAAAATTTGTGGGCCACTGATTTATAGAGATGCTGAAGTATCAAGTTCCAATGTGACATAAATATGTTTGTGATACCATGGGAAACGGAAAACCAACAATGACAGGAATGTCACCTACAACCAGAGACCTTAATGCACATACCTTTAAACTATTGTAAGTATTTGACAGGAAGAACATTGGCCAGCTTTTAACTATGCTGGTGGTGTGGCTCTAGTGATGCAATGCAGGTCCTTCTGCTGGTTGGTGCACGAAATGTTGTACACACATTCACAGTGCACAGAGGATAGAGCCTACTGACTTTAGTGAACCACTGATTTTTTTCTGTAATGCCACCAGCAGGTTGACATTTGTGATTTTAGGTGAAATGTTTCAACAACTATTGGATAGATTTCCCAGAAATGTGCTACATTCATGTTCCCCACAGAATGATTTGTAACAACTTTATGTCCTGACTTTTCATCCAGAGCCATTTGATGAAAAAATTGTGACTAAACACCTGCAAAGTAATGGCATTCCCAGCAGCCTCAGCTGTGCTTTGTTTTTAGAGCTAATTAGCAAATATTAATTGCTAAACTTAGTAACAAAGTAAATATTACCTGTGAAACACACAGAGCTGCTAGCGTGACTGTAGACCAGTTTTGTCTCTACAGATGACGACTTTGAATTTCCCAATTTATGAAAAGATGATTCGGTTGTTTTTTCTTTTGTGGTATGAGCTGAAAGGTGTGGTGTTTTTCTAACTTAATTTCATCTCAGTTTGTTTTGCTTAGACACTCCCAAACGACATTTCCCCCTAGAAAATGGCACGATGTCAGAGTAAACAATCAATCAACTTGATATGTCGCAAAGTCAGATTTATCACACGAAGAAGGCAAACAAATGAACAAAGACAGTAATGTAATAGTAACAGTGGCTAAATCAGATGACACTCCTGGCACACCTTTTAAAGCGCCTCATGAAGGAGTTAGGGATGAAGGTTAGTCTGTACATCTGATGTTCACTTCTCTTTGACAACATAAAACAAAACACTAGAAGCATTTTTGGAAGGCAGTGACACAATGTGTGCTGTTTTATTTCAGGGTCCGTGACTTACTGTGCAACAGTATAATGTCATATTAAATGCTTTACACAACCTTTTAAAAAAATGTGAATGAGACCTATGCGATGCTCTGAACATGAGTTATAAGCTTTTCTTTCAAGTCAACCGTTTTAAAGCTCATAAAAGCAATAAGCCAGCACGTCTGCATGCCAATCCATCTACAGTCAGTTTACTCCTTTATCAGCGTTTCTGCATGCAATTGGGTTTGTTGTATTAAGGACATCCGCACGCACAATTAAAGAAATGCAACATGGGTTATTACGCACTCACTCTCACACACACCTAGACGTTTTGCTGAAGGTGTTAGAGAGGTTTTCTGAAGCATCAGGATTTCAGACGCTCAGGGGGATGAGGTGATTGACGTTCTCCCAAACAAGTAACAGACACAGTCACAAGACACTTGAAAAACACCCACTTGCTCTTTCACAAACAAACACGGCCGACAATGTGAAGGACAATCAAACGACGGGACAATGGTGGCAGTGATTCCTGATCAGAGCAGGAGGTCTGTGACTGAGGGCAGCAGCTCGGCTAACTCCGACTCGATGTTGGCCGTCTGAGTGACGGGGTTGCCACGGAGATCAAGGCGCTTCAGCTTGGGGCAGGAGGCCAGCGGCTGAAGATCTGCCAATGTAGAGATTTCTGTGGATTTGGGTTAATGAAGAAGCTTTTCTGTGTGCTGTGGCAAGTAACATTAGTGGCAATGAACCGGAGATAGGACGCACGTATTCCCCAACACTGGTGCAAAAGTAAGATCTACATGTCAAATATGACACTGCGATATTAATTGATTTTTCTAAATATAAAACTTGGAAGCCTTTATTTACATTAGGAAGGTATGCACTGAAACTGTAATTAAACTACAAAACAAAACTTGAATGTATCGTCAGTGTCATGACCTGCAAACCACACTCATTTCTCTCAGGGGAAGTGAAGCATGAAGGGGATGGAGGCTGCGGCGAGAATGTGTTGTTAAGTGTCTCTTGCCTTCTTAATGATGCTGTTTGCTGTGTGAAATTGCGGCGCTGATTTTATTTACTCAAAGTTTCAGGTGAAAACAAATTAGCCATGCATTGAGCTGAAGGGTCTTGTTACTGCAGTAATTTTTAAAACTCTGTAAACACCATCCTCGTGTGCAGTGCGTGTTTTACATCAAGCTCTTCAAACACCGTCAGCTGCTCGCACTCTTTAGCGGGGTTGTTTTTCAACGTTGAGCCTTGCGCACTCAGAGCTGATTCACACATTTCTTGAGTCACTAGTACACTGTGATAGGAGTGTACAGATATAATTTACATTGATCCCTGCGACACTGATGCTACAGGATTAACGCAGATCCAGCACAGAACGTTCTACAGCAAACTAATGAATATGAATGACTGATTAAAGGATACTGTTATTCTTCAAGAGGACCTCCTCCAGTTTGGGGAGGTGATACACTCCTTCTAGGTTTTCTATGGAGTTGTTATCAGCCTCCAAGACCTGCAGGAAGTATGAAGATGTGATTTTAATCATGTTGCAGAGGAAGTAGTAATCACTATATTTCCTGCTGTAATCTACAAATAGTACGACAAACAAAATAGGTAAAGAAACATTGTCCATTTAGGACAGATGATTGGATTTGAATCACCTCCAGGCACTGCAACATGGCGAACTGAGGAGGCAGCCGCTGCAGCTGATTAGAGGACAGATTAATATGGGTAACCAATAACAGCTGATCCAGGTGGCATAAGGTGGTCAGGTTCTGTTAGAAAAGAACAACAGGAGAAATGAATTCCAAGAGCTTCCGTATGTGGCAGACACATAAAAGATTTCATGATGGGAAAATAGAATTCCTTTTTATATTTCTGAATCTACCTTGTCAGAAATACTGAAGACACGCACTTCAGCATACTCCATTTTCAGGATGGTGTTTTCAATCATAAACTTGCTGCACAGGTCACTGTAATACGCAGAGCGCATTGAATCCACTTCCTGAGCAAGAAAGCTTTCAGTCAGTGATCTACAAACATCTCTTTTCTGCTCAGTGTCATACACTGCACATGGTACATGGTACATGGTACTCACTTTTAGTGTTTGGAAATGAGCAAGCGTCTCCTTTTCATATCCCAGAGGGTCTAGCGCCCTCATCAGGAGGATAATGGTCAGTAAGCACCCTGCCAAAGGCAAGCAGAGTGTTTCAATCGCTACATGAAGACATCATGATGAGCAGCAGCAAACTTTACAATGTATTTATGTGAAGATGGTGATTTGGCCTTTAAATGCACTTACACTTATTAAGCGGCTCCAATTCTTGTAGTTGGTTGCATGATTGTAGCTCTGACTGTAACACTGAGGTCTTCTCTACTGAGAGTTCACTCCTACAGAGAAAGAGCACACTCAGTTTTTACTCCTTAAAAAACTCCACAATGTGCTGCCATTGTTTGAAAGACCATACCTGAAAAGCTCCTGATCCGTAGCAGAGTCCCGACACCAACTCTCAGTCCGACCTTTGGAAGTTAAAAGATCACAGAGTAAGGAAGCCTGAGAAAACATACATTGGTAAAGATCAAATGTAAATATGCGCTATATGCATCACCTGTGTACAGGGCACAGTCTCTGTGAGTGTGTTTCTCAGTCCAGTGCACAGTCAGATTGTGTTCATTTGTGACGTCGCTTATCGTTCCAGGAGGAAGATCACAAATCTGAGCCGGTGTTAAGATTAAAAAAAACAAGTGAAGTGAAACGGAAGTGTCTGATTCCAACATAAATTATCCACCTTTGAATGAAATCCACCTAGGCCCATCCCGTGAGTGTGCATAGTAAGTCCAT